AGCCCAAGAAGGACGCTCCCCCCAAGAAGCTCAGAGGCACTCAGGCCAGAAAGGCTGCGGAGCAGAAGTCGGAGTAAATACAAATCTCAGAGCAACGAAAATGCCGAAGACGAGAGGTCAAGGAACGGGCGCGTCGACTGAAATAGAGCCGTGCTGGTCAAGGGCGAAAGCGTCCCTGTAATTTAGCAATATCATTATTCGGTATTGTCTTTCCGAGGCCATCAGCAATCTCAGCACCATAAAAAGAAAGCGAGAATCAAATGCCGTGCAGGTTGATTGGGTCCAGATTAGGTTTGCCGTGCAATAGGATAAAAGTTTCGTAATGTAGCTCGCCTAATTTTCTCTGTTAGATTTCCTACATGGACATTACTTGCAGTTGGCACATGTTCCCGGATTTTGAACGACTGCGGCCGCTTGTCGGGCCGAAACGTATTCTAGAACCTGTTGGGACAAAACTTGGAGCTTTCAGCTTTTGCCGGAGTAACACTTAACATCCGCCTTTTCCCGAATTCATGATGGATAAATTGTATCAACTCACAAACTCGGTAGGTTCCTCGGTGTTGCATATCGTGGAACACGAAAATTGCCGGAACCTGGGGCGCTTCGGATTGGATCAAGTCGACTCTGACGTACGTTTATGGACCAAGACACAAGAGGAAGTTTCTCGGCCTGTATCATGACAGTACCGTCGGGAACATGGACATAGGTACACTGTGAACTGGATGTAGGATATAGATATGTACGTCCGGTGCTCTATAGACTAGGTAAACAGTCTCAGCAAGGTGAAACTAATAGATGATGCGAGAAGGATATCCCAAGTTCATTCTTCTTTATAAGCCTACCATAACATCTGATGACAAGAGTATAGGTAGCGGTTAATACCGATGGATAAGTTCGCGGTTGATCTTCCTTGGGTAATTAGGTGTCTTAAGGTAGGAAGTTTCCGGTAAGATCAATGATTACTCTGTACCTAGATACCCAAACATCGGACTAGAACTGTGGGAGGCTCTCCATGTGATCTCCGTTGTCCGTCTACCCCTCCGCAACGCAGGTCTGTATGAGAGCAACAGAGCTATAATCATAATAATTAGTCTTAATAAAAACTGAATAATGGTTGGACATACATACATTACTTCCTTACCTACCCGAGACAGTAGTGATGGGTAGCATACCTGGCTTACGTACCTGGCCGTCGCCGGGTTCCTGTATCTATAAGAACTAGTTAATTGCCATTATTATTATGATTGTGCAGAGAAGTTGTGGCTCTTGTCTTGCTATTCCAGATCTCCATCTCTAAAGACATTGCCAGGTCATCATCAATCCCTCAAGAAATGTAGGTCCAGTGCGATCTATCCACCAAAATATAGCTCTGGTTTCTACTATTCCCACTGTTGTTTGTTCCTTCCCCGAATATGGCGCGTTGTTTGTTCCCGTTTGGTTTACCGTTTACCCCTCCCTACAGGCTCCCTGCATGCCCCTCCGTAGCTCCCTCTATCCCTCCTGCTCCACCCCCGCTCAAACCTCAAGTGCTTTCTTTCACCCTCGGTCGTTGTTCTTCCATCCACAATTTCCCAATCTTGCGTTGATTCGGTTCTGTCTGTCCGTCATACTCACACGCGATACAGATACGTTGCTTTCTTGTTCTTAATCAGCAGCTACCAAGCATAAGCTCTAATCTCTCATCATGGTCAAGGCAGGTAAGCATCTGATCGACTTCCTCCAGAAACCACCGAGAGTCATCCTACTAATTCATCCCTACAGCTGTTCTCGGAGCCTCCGGTGGCATTGGCCAGGTGTGTAATCTCTGACTTCTGCGTCACCGCTCGTCACATAGTCACGTACTGATATTCATCCTTGTCGCGTTCCTAGCCTCTATCTCTTCTGTTGAAGGCATGCCCTCTGGTTGATGAGCTTGCTCTCTACGATGTCGTCAACACTCCGGGCGTCGCTACGGATCTGTCGCACATCTCTTCCGTCGCTGTATGTGACAACTTCCTAGACCCATCAACTCAAGTGACTCAATCCTCGTTCCTGACTCGCACTTGCAGAAAGTCTCCGGCTACCTTCCCAAAGACGATGGTCTGAAGAATGCTTTGACTGGCACTGATGTTGTCGTCATTCCTGCTGGAATCCCTCGTTAGTACTCCTACTCGCCAGAGATCTCAAAAAAAAAAAAAAAAAACTGCTGCTCTTCTGACTCGAATTCTTCCCAACAGGCAAGCCTGGCATGAGTCGTGACGATCTTTTCAAGGTGAATGCTGGTATCGTCCGCGACTTGGTGACGGGAATCGCACAGTACTGCCCCAAGGCTTTTGTACTCATCATCTCGAATCCTGTAAACTCCACCGTCCCAATCGCCGCTGAGGTGCTTAAGAAACAGGGTGTCTTCGACCCCAAACGCCTCTTTGGAGTCACCACTCTGGATGTTGTCCGTGCAGAGACCTTCACTCAAGAATATTCAGGCCAGAAGGATCCATCCAAGGTCCAAATCCCGGTTGTTGGCGGGCACTCTGGGGAGACCATCGTTCCCCTCTTCAGCAAGGCCTCCCCAGCTTTGAATATTCCTGCAGACAAGTATGACGCTCTCGTGAACCGTGAGTGTCTGCACTGTATCTACAAGTATTTGAAACTGGCGACTGACTCGTCCGTAGGTGTCCAGTTCGGCGGAGATGAGGTAGTCAAGGCTAAAGATGGCGCCGGCTCCGCCACTTTGTCCATGGCTTATGCTGGCTTCAGGTCTGCCACTTTCTCCAAAGCTTGAATTTGTCTCTCTGCTAATTCCAGGTAGATTTGCCGAAAGGATTATCAGGGCTTCGCAGGGCCAGTCAGGCATTGTCGAGCCCACTTTCATTTACTTGCGAGGCGTCACTGGTGGTGAGGAAATCGCCAACGAGACCGGTGTTGAGTTCTTCTCGACCCTTGTCGAACTCGGAGTAAGTGTTTTCACGTCTTGAGCACAAACCATTTCTCAGATAGTATATGCTAAATGCCAAAAAGCGTAATGGCGCGGAGAAAGCCATCAACATTCTCCAGGGCGTCACCGAGCAGGAAAAGAAGCTCCTCGAGGCTTGCACCAAGGGCCTTAAGGGCAACATCGAAAAGGGCATCGAATTCGCCAAGAATACCCCACCAAAGTAAACGCGCCTACCCCCGTCAAACAAGCTCACCCCCATTGGCCAGCCGCACCGTTGTCTTCCCTGAAGAGCACTTGTCGGTGGCATTTTCCCCTCCCCGAAGAGCTCACGAGAATTGAAAAGGACGTCGCTAATCAAAGCTATCCCGGAAAGATAGGCTTTAAACTATAAGGTTGATGAAGAAGGGTAGAGGAGGTCGCCGTGGGGCTGATCATTAGGTTCTTGAAATGCAGGGCCCTAGAGACATGCGTGCAGAAACGAATAAACCCTTTTTTACTTTTGTTTTTTAATGTGAGCCCTGTTGAGTGTAAAAGAGATAATTGAGTCTGCCATCCGGACAGAGACAAAAGGGGTCTTGGTTGTTATTTCATACTGGTGCCTTCTAGGCAATTTCTCCGTCCCAAGCGTTCAGGGCCTTGGCTGAACCGTTTTGATTTGGAACGTCGCCCCGGGAAGCTCAGAGGTTTCAGCTTGTACAGTGGTGGCAATGCCCATGTTCGATAAAGCACCACGAATGACGCCGCATGGAAACCAGAGAAACTGGGGTCGTGTCCAAATGTCAGAATGAGGTTGAAAGTAGGAATACGGGGTCTTGCCCACCACTTGTGCCATAGCAGTCGCCTCGCTTCGAGAAGCCGTGCTCATTCTTGCAAATGGTCGAAACGAGTTATCTGTGAGGACGTAGACACCCTGAAAGAGACGATATACCACTATCAGCTTCTATCCGTGAAGACTCAAGCGCACGAGTCTGGTGTAAAGTCGCTTCCGTGTACTAACCCGGTGATTTGTTTTCAAATTATCCACTTGTTTCCTGAAAAGTATCATCCACAGATCTTTGCACAAAAATTTGATAACGTCGAGATTGTCTGTGAAACGAGGGCGATCGCGAGAAAATCTGCCCGGTGAGAAGATGCGAGAGGCATATGTCAGCTGCATTTGCGTTCAGTCAAGCTCCGTTCAGGGAGATCCCCTCTGCCTTTTATGTTCATCCGAACACAGGTTCCATCCCTCGAGTACTAGACAGAATGTGTCGCTAGCTTACCGTTCCGCAAGTCCTTGACCAACTCGGTAGCCTATAGACTCTAGTCGAAAGAATGTCGACTCCCTGATTTCGTCATCATCTGAAGCTTTCTCATTGAGTGCCAATTCCCTCGCTAAGCGTTCGGCCATGGGAACGAGCTCTATTAGAAGAAAGTCTAGGCATGAAGTACTCAGGAAGCGAGCATGAGGATCAGAGCTATTGATAGATGAGACAGATGCATCAAACGACATCTCGATGAGTCCGTGTGGAAGTTGTCTGCGAGATATACAATACGTTATTCCCAATCTGAAAATTGCAGGATAACGTTAAACTTCAAGTCGGATAAACTTCGTTTTCCATATCCGTGATCGTGAGGATTTGCGGAGGTGGACTCAGGACTCCGCAACGTGGTTTGGACCTTTTTGATAAGGGTAATGCTTGGAGTTCGGACCTCCTTGACATACTCCGTACGCTTATTCCTAACTTCTGCCGCGCAACTTCTGTGATTACAACTCTCAAATAATCCAAGACCTATCAACTTCATCCTACTACACTGACAAATTCGACTTACTACAAATCTTTAAAGTGATATCTGCATGCAGATTGGATCATCTGTAGCATCTGCATTTCAGAGAACGTGTTCAGAGCCATGAGCGCGTTTGTGGGGGATGAGCCAAATCTAATAGTAGTGAGCTATTGTTTTCCGCACCGACTAACATGGTTCTCTGGACCACGTCTAATGTTGCTCATCCTCATCGAAACTCGCCCAACGAACCTATGCCCAGCAATAACGCCTAAACCCAATTGCGCCATGCCCCCATGCAAATATGCCTCGCTAGATGTCATTACGCATCAAAACCACCCATATGTCTAGGGGACTCCGAACTAGTCTGGTTCGTGAAAGAGAAATTTCCCCCATTTACAAGACCGCTGCTAAACGAGTTACGAAATGCTGGTCGAGCATAAGCCCGGTGGGGAGCATTTGACGCCAGACGCTTAGCTGGTCTGACTGGGGAAAGATCGCCATCATCATCACTACCAGTCAGATCGATCACTTGGGCTGCCGAGCGTTTGTTAGTGGACAGACGAGCTGCAGACGATGTCGCTGACGGCTCCCGGGATTGAGCCGGTGTCCGCTCTAGGGAGAGGCCTGATGCTGAGAGTGACTCCTGCTTCACATGCACAATTCCAGGTTCTTTGATCTCGATCAGCTCGTCCTCGTCCTCTGTCGCCGGAGTGACGCCCCCAGCACCTTTGAGCTCGTCTTCCTTTGGGCTCGACCACTTCCCGTCCGGTTCAATAATGACCTGTTCCACATCCGGCGATGTGGAATGGAGTATATCATCAACATATCTTCACAGTTAGCATATTTTACGTGACAGTTGCGAATTCGCGCAACTTACTGATCAACTTGCAATGATTCATAGCTGGTGGCCTTGGAACAAACCGGACACGACCATGTAGGCGCTTGTTCCTGCAACTGCAAGAACGACGATGCATCAAAGCACTGGTTATGCGTGCAGACGACAGTGCGACAAGGGACTTCGATCCGCAGCGTGGACAGAGGACATTTCAAGGACATGACAGTGGAGGTGGCAACAATGTCAGAATCCTCCGCTCTATTCTTCACTGCAAACCATTAGAGGAATTCAATGCATGAGAAGGATAGACGGGTCTATACTTTCTCGTAATACTTGCTCTTTTGTGATCGTTTTCCTCCTCTTCAATTCCAAGACAAGATCCTCAACGGGATGGCGCTGAACTAGGTTCACAAGAACGAAAAATCTCTATAAGATAGTCAGAAAGAATACATAAAGGGCATTGACAAGATGGAATGGAATTAGCATGGGTGGGGCTGAAAGGGACGGCTTGCCTTTTGCGTAAGCGCATAAGTCATAACAATATGATTGGGATACCCTGGCTTTTTGCGAATATAATTTGTCACATCCGCGGGCCTCGTTGTACCAGGCTTATTCTTGAGGCCTTTCAGGTTAGCCTTGACCTCGTCCAAATTTGCTTTGAGCTCAACTTGGTGAGGGAAAGCAATATCGGACTTAGTGTACTGATTGAGGCCACTGTCCGCTGCGCAATAAACCATTACCCGAAGATTGGGATCAGCTTGCAATCTTGAAGCTACAGTTGGGGTGAGGACGACTTTCAGCTCGACATTGTCCCTGGTTTGCTCGCGTACTTAAGAAGTTAGACTTGGCTGGTGGTTCATCTCAGCTGATAGGATCAATGCTCACTTTTGCATTCTACAGTAGGAGTAAGCTGCTCCAAGATCGTGTAGAACGGGCTGTCTTTGAAAGTAATGCGGCCTGACAACACATGAGCTACGATCATAGATAGACAAATGAAGCGTGCACAGGTTACCGGGCGTGAATCCATGCGAAGACATCGGTATAGTCAATGGCGTTGGCCTATGCTGTGTTTGTATTGACTGGGTATTAGGTGATGCGTGATATGGCTGACTTGGGAGAGGTTGTGTCGTTGACGGCCCAGGCATCGCGCGATGTGCGGTAGCATAAATGAATCTCCTTAAATTATCATAACGCTCAGTATGTCCTCCTTGGTTGAGTCTCTCAATATCTATATAATTGAGTCAACATAGCTCTAGCCAGTCTCAGTGTTCTTGGACACCAATTGAAATGAAAGCAAGATAGCAAATAAAGGGAGAACGAACAGTCAATTATCCGGAGTTGTAGCGAAGCTTTAACACCAGAAACAGCAAGCCCCTCACTCCTCAAGATATCTTTAAGCTGTGCATTCGTAAGTGTCTTTACCAAAGCAACAACGCTCTGGAGCTCAGACGAGTGAACGGCAGAGGCCATGATTCCGAGCTGATATGCGAATGGCAGGGTATAAATTAACTCAAGAAGTGTGGTTAGAGGCAAATGCGCTTAGATTGTCAGCTCTATTGAAAAACATTTCAACTCTTATCTTATTGGCAATTTCGATTCTCGGCAGGGAGATCAGATAATTAGTAGAATAACAAAAAAGAAAGGGAAAAAAGAAAAACAAAAGGAAGCTGTATACATTTGTGACCGAAACTCCTGTTGCATCTGAGGTGCAACACAGCGAATACCCAGTTAAGGTTTCCAAAGTGATGACATAAGATGGCCAGAGCGAGACTAGAGTGAAGTTCGGAAAAAAATATCTTGTACCCATATCGCGACTCCGACCTTTCCTCCTATTGTTCACCACCTTTCTGATACCCACGTCTCTCATATTTTTTCTCACAACTGCTAAGGTTCTGCTAAATATTCCTCGAAACAAACAACATGGCAAAGAGTGTTCGAGCCAGCGTTTCCAAGCGCAACAGGGCGAAACTCCGGGCCACCGTCTTTGGCCCTGCTGCTGATGCGCGGACAGAGAGGCTGTCTGCAAAGTTAAAAGAGCTGGCCTCTCAGCCGATAATCAGAGAACACAAAACTTCAAGTATGGAGTTGGATCCTACAGGTACTGGTTCGTTACTCCCACAATCAGTGCTCAATATAGTTCATCTGCATGTTCGTTCTACAACTAACGGTCTCATTCCCGCTGTACAGGTAGCCAAGTCAAATCTACAGACAGCAAACCATCAGTTATAAATGAAGGTGAGCCTCACCTTCACCTTCACCTCATCCCTAGAGGACCAATCTTCGTTAAAAAATCACATTGCTGATACCGCTTCCCTTTAGACATGGACGTCGACACAATGTCCGTTAAGCACACCCAAAGTCGCTCTCAGAAGTTAGGACGTGTTCAAAAACGCAAGAAGGCCCGTTCGTCCATTGTCTTCCATTCGCATTCTTCGAAAACAAGAAAGGGATCTCAAAGGAAGTGATTAATAAATCTCGAAAGCGGACAAATKACATCTGAAAAGCGGCGTTTGGAGTTTTAGCTTGCAAAAGGTACTTGCATTTTTCCAGCTCCACTGCGTCAAACATGTGGGAGTTTTCATGGTACAAAACTACCAAGCACAATCATTTCTGGGCGATAATCCAGATTGGAACTTTTTGAGTTTGCCTACAGCGGTACTAGAAGGAACAGGTGCTTATTATCAAACCATCGAGGATTAATATTTTTGGCTTAAGGCCATTCGTTATTTTTATTACGGCTATCAAGTTTCCACCTACCTGTGTTAATGGTGCATACTCTGGGGATCTTTATAACAAGGCAGTGTCCTTAATGCCTGCATATACCTCTCTAAAGTCATATAATTTAGCAACTGCTATTATTATTACACAGCTGGACTGTTCGCTGTACACAATATGCTAACCCCATATGGGAGGGAGGCGGTGCTCCAGGGGTTAGTTTCCCCCCCTGACATCCCTCAGATATAATAAGTGGTACTCCGTACAGAGTACCTCTCTAGAATCTCAAATCGGTTGATTACATACAAAATCACCTTTTACACAAGTCCTATATTTACAAGTTGAGATCAGTTGCTTTGTAAATAACACTATATTATCGTAGCACAATATTATCTTATGCTGTTATTGCCCGCAGTGACCAATGTCCATTAAATGCGTGTGGATTTTGACTTTTTGACAAGCCTGAATTTGATAACCTCCCCGAATCGCAGCTTTCTTACCCCACCAACGTCAATTCATCACCTCAGACAACCTGGCTTTCAAATTTGTATGTCTAGCTTTAAATGCGCAGAAAACTTAGCTGATATGCTGGAGTTCTATTATCAACGTTTACAACGATAATCAGAGAGTAGGATACATTGACGTTGCGGAGGTGATCAATTATTCTGCCGCTTGAATGCCATACTTGGTTAGCATGTTGTCCATAGTTTTAGACTGTACCTCCTTTCACAGGCTTTGGAGACTTCACACACCTGGCAGCTTATGAGACCTCGATAATCCTAAGCAAGTCGCGGCTGATATGCGACAGGTTTCAATACTCTATTGAGTTTCCTGGCGCTCGGGTCTAAAGACTATCGAAGCCTGCAAGATGGCTCTCAAATGGGAGAATCGGGCAATTCTAATCGCCAATATGCTCATTGTTGTAGCCATTTCAATATTTTCATCCGGATTTTTCCCTTACAAGTCTTTGCTTCCAGGACTGGCTACATTTGATGAAACCAATATTGACACTGTGGCACCAAAAGTCTTTGATAGAGTGATTTTCATGGTGATTGATGCTTTGCGCAGGTACGACTAATTGTATCTAAATGCTCAACTCTGTATCCCTAGCTGAGCCTCTATGCTAGTGATTTCGTTTACTCGAAGGCTTCCGGATTCTCTTTCACCCAAAGGTCAACCAGAAGCCACATAATGATTTTGCCATAGAATCTGCTGCTGACTGAGGCGTTTCGAGATCAACAGCCTAATCCGTTCTGGAGCGGCTCTACCTTTCACGGCCCATGCCAGCTCTCCAACGGTCACGATGCCGCGGCTCAAGGCCATGACAACTGGCTCCGTGCCATCCTTCTTGGACGTGATATTGAACATCGCAGAGTCTGATACCTCTTCTACCCTCGCATATCAAGATACATGGCTAGCGCAGTTAAAGGCGCAGGGAGGTCAGCTTGTCATGTACGGGGATGACACTTGGATCAAGCTATTTCCGGGAGTCTTTGATAGGTCTGATGGGACTACGAGTTTCTTCGTATCGGTCAGTTGTAACCAATGGGCCAACAGAAGACACACAAATGGGTCAAATAATTAATAGCCACCTACAGGATTTCACTGAAGTAGATCACAATGTTACCCGTCATGTCCCGCGGGAGCTATCACAGCATGATTGGTCGGCCTTCATAATGCACTTTTTGGGATTGGACCATATTGGTCACAAAGCTGGCCCGAAGAGGTGAGCATTCGACTTTCACTTCGCTCTCCGAGTTGTGTCCTAATATCGTAGTCGACATATGATGACAAAACAACGAGAGATGGACTCGATCGTTGCTCTAATTTATGCCGCCATGGAGGAACAGGACCATCTTCAATCGACCCTGTTTGTTCTGTGCGGAGATCATGGGATGAACGATGCTGGGAATCATGGTGGCTCGTCACCGGGAGAAACTTCGCCCGCTTTGCTTTTCATTTCACCGAAGTTCCAGACTAAAAAGACTCCTAAAGACAGTCCGGTTGAAGCATTTAGCGACTTGCAATACTATCGGACTGTTGAGCAGATGGACATCACGCCAACTCTGGCGGGACTTCTGGGTTTACCTATTCCGCTGAATAGTCTGGGCATCTTCATACCAGAGTTTCTAATGATGTGGGACAATGGTAACGTCGTCAGTTTCTTTCGTATGTGACATATTTTAAAACTGACATGTTGCCCCTTGGCTCTAGATGCTCACAGAATTGATCTCCTGCTTCGAAACGCCAAGCAGATGCTTAACGCAATGAAGGGGACCTTTCCCGATATAGATGTTGAAGCAACTACTACTCCTCAAGGCTGCGACAGGCAATTGCCAACAGGCCCTGCCAAAGTTCAGTGTGCCTGGTTTCAAGCACTACAATTAGTCCACGGACCGGAGCGTAATAGAACAACTCTGCCAGATGTCGAACCGGCTCTGCTAAGGGTTCTACGATCCGCCCAGGAGGTGATGAGCAGCACTGCCAGTAAATACAATACAACAAGACTTTATTTGGGCTTGATCGTCGCGGCTCTTGCTGTTTTACTCACGTTTTTCCCAGCATATGGATTGGTCTTGAAGTCCAGCAATGCTGTGATGTTTCTCATGTTAAGCATTATAAGCTACGGTGGTATGATGTTTGCCAGCAGCTACGTGGAGGAAGAGCAACAATTCTGGTATTGGGTCGTCACGGCATGGACTGTCTATTTGCACATAAAATCACTCCGCCCATGGCATGGCTCGAAAGATCCTCGATTTTCGTTCTCACGATTTGCAAGATGTATGACAGTTGTGCTGGCCATCTCTTATCGGATTCTCAGACGCTGGAATCAAACAGGCCAAAAATTTGCTGCTGAGCCAGATATTGCGCGAAATTTCTTTCCTCGCCATCAGAACATCTTGTGGGCCTTGATTATACTGACTTACTTTGATACATGCATGCGTCTTTGTCTCAATTCACCCTCGAGTAATATCTGGCGTTCCGCAGCTATACTGACGACAATAGCGGCCTTCTTTTTCAAGCTGGTTTTCGTGGTGGCCGACTCACCCGAGCTTCTTGACGAGTCCCTATTATCACCCCTACAGAAAAGACTTGAAGGGGTGCCATTGATTCTACCCGCAAGACTCGTCTTCTGTGGAATTTTCCTACTGTTGGTGACTTCGTTCTGTACGATGAATGTCACACAGAAACGATCTTCTTTAGCAGGAGGCAAGTATAGACTAATTACTACCGCGTTGGGGTTTACTGACAAACATTAGTGATCCCGCTGGGCACTATATTTCATGAAAGCCTGACCCTTTTTTTGATAACACAGTCAAAAGCGGTCAATATCCCGATCTTTTTGGTATTTCGACTACAGGCTATAATTCTTGATTCTCTGAGAATGAACGCTATTGAAGTGACCATTACGTCCTTGCTTTCACAGCATATGACCTTTTTTGCATTTGGGGGTTCGAATGCAATATCTTCTGTCGATCTTTCCAACGCATATAACGGGATTGGCAGTTATAGTGTGGTATTGGTGGGAGTCTTGACATTCATAAGCAACTGGGCTGGGCCCATATGGTGGGCATCCGCTGCTCGGCTTCTCTACTCAAATCCAAATTTTGCGGAGAAATACAGCCATAGAACCATCTTAACGTTCCATGCTGCAACGTCTTTGATGTCTGTCATGGCGGCATGTACAATGTTAAGGACACACCTTTTCATCTGGACAGTCTTTTCACCAAAATATCTCTACACGTTGGCGTGGACTATTCTCAACCATCTGTTTATCAATTTACCGGCTACAGCGAACGTGTCGCAAGTTTTGAACTGGCAATAATGCGTTTCATTCAGTTGCTCGTCGTTACCCGACTTGCTACGAGGATACAAACTGGGCATACGTCATTTTTAACTGGTACATTCCGAATTTGGATGGTCTGCAAATCGTTGAAGAAAATGTGACTGTAAGCTGCCAGCATGATCACAGGACGCCGTTGAAAAGATCATCGATGGCGTTCTTCTTCCTCTTCCTCTGCCCCGAAGGTTTCACAGCGATAGTCGCAGTATCTCTTGCTTCCCTCTGGTGGCCATTCGGTTTTTCTAAACCACTTTGCTTGTCAGACTGAGAGTCTAAAACAGGAGTAAAAGACTCGTTCAACCGAGAAACAACTTCTCCCACATCTTCCTGTTGCAAATTCTTAAGACAATTTGACGGCCGGAATACCATTTTCTTTCGACGCAAGGAGTTCATCTCCTGGTCTATTCCTGTCGCTTTGGTTAAACGAGCAAGCGCAGCTACCAGTACTGTGCCTATTGTAGAAAACTGGCCATCGGCTATGACCGTCGAGAATGCTCTGATACATGTTTAGTTATTAAAAAAATTAAAGGGCCGAGCTATTAGAAAGCAATGGTAGGGTGATAGGGTATGATAGCGTGACTTACAGGTAACAATGTGGAATGACATGCAAAGCCAGATGCTCCTTATATAGGCCAACAGTATGGAATGCGCCGATCTCCAACGACTTAGTGAGTTTCAGAGTGATGCGTTTTAAGATAGACAACCACTTCCACCATTTCGTGTTTCCGTGCTGATTCTTATTTCGGTGGAAAACTAAATGAAGCAGTGAATGTAAAGCTATGATTTCTTTGACATCCATTACTTCTTTAAAGTAAGCTGATGGCAACGAGCTGCTCATGAATCTTGAAGAAAAATGTTAAACTAAAAAAGCTCTCGGGTGGAACAAACTATAACAAGCTTTTCAAATCCATTGCGCGAGGGCTTCTCATTAGGAATGAGATGATGCCAGCAATGGGCGTGACGCAGGTAAAGAACAAAAGAAAGAGAATGAAAGCAAGCAAGCAAGAAAGAAAAATAAAAGAAATATATAATAAAAAAAAAAAAAATAAAAATTTATTAGAAAATAGAATACTGATGAAAGAGAAAATCTACGCCGTGGTTCGATGCCCTTTGTAGCCTGGCTCGGTATTTTATTTTCTGCAGTCAAACTGCTACGTAGCTAGATAAGAAATAGTACTCCAACCACACCCGGAAAATCGTTATCTCATCACGAAGTTGATCGGCGACGTCGAGCAAATAGCACGCATACGGTTTGCGGAGAAATTGATGCCGCTCATGCAAGCAACTGAAGGCGGTCAGGTCGGCTACAAAGAAATTTTTGCGCTTTCAGATAGAGACAGTCTACGAATGAAGACAATCAGGGGAAAAGGTAAGTCATGAATTGATCACTTTAATCTCCTAAAAATGGAGAAAAGAAAAGAGAGTAAAGGAGGAGACATAATTTCGATCATTATTTCAGAATAGACACCAGGAGGAAAGACACCTAAATCTCACAGAGATGGGCTTCCAAATGGAGATGAACCCAACATTGGACTCAAACTGAAACCCATATGCGTGCCAACCAGGGCATTGAATGGTTCTCTCCTCTGAATCAGAAAGTCGGTCATATCTCTCCTCTCTCCGAGTGTCTGCTGTACTCGGGAACAAGAAGTTAGTGGGGTAAGGCGAGTTCGTGAAAGGTACTGCATCGCCAGCGAGGTCAAGTCCCAATCGACATTTTTTTCGCAAGTAGTTTCTCGCAATTTCAATTAATCTATTTTCCTGAACTTCAGGAGCCGGAGCCACGTTCGGAGAAGGGTTGTTTCTGGGGTGATATTGGCACTAGGACGTTCTTGGACCGCGTGCAGAGATCATCGGATCGTACCATATGGTTGTAGGATAAGTGCAGGGAGCACTTCTCAGGCCATTATTAACACCAAAGGGATGTGAAGCAATTGTCTGGACATATACAATCTCTCGTTCAGCAGCGGTAGTCCCACGATCGAATTGTGAACGGCGTCGACGTTGTTCGTCCCGATATTGCTGTCCGACACGGGGTGCGAATAATCCTGATGACATGGTTTGTTAGCAAACCCTCATGTTGTCCTAGAGAAATATGAACTTACCAATGTGTTCAGCATTTTCGATGCTGCGACGCATCTTTGAAGGATTGTCCGGTCCGGGAAAACGGTCTTCTGTGCCAGCAAGAGGCCCAGTGCCGGTGTGGAAAATCTACACTCATTAGTTTTCGTGTTATCTAGTCTCATCTTGATTATGCCGCACCGACCTTTGGACGAAACGATGGATGTTCCAACATGACCGAACTATTTCGGAATTTCTGTATAAGGCAATCTTTGCCTTGAATCGCTGTATCCAGGTGTCAGAATGTCCAATCTCGTCGTTCAGCAGGTGGCACCTACTAGCATACGATACTTCCGCGACTTTGTCACTGTTAAAGCAGTTCCTAGTTGATTGTCAGCGTATTTTAACAGAGAGGGTACGAGCGTCTCGTACCAGGAACGCCCAGCTCGCGTTTTCACAAACTATTGTTAATTCAGTAAAATTGGTGGCAAGAAGGGGACAAGGGGGTCTGACATCGATTATATCAATGGGCTGGCAATTTGTTAGCCATTTTTCGAACATGGATAGGGGACAAACGGTCCCATATGACTTACGTCTTCGAAATTGATAAAAGCATATCCGACGCTGACAATAATGTGAGTATGATCAGGTCAACAAGGATCTGCGCATGGGTAGAGTAATCAACTCACTTGCAGTTGTTCGCAAAGTCTAGAAGGCTGAGAGTTAGCTTCATCTTGAAATTAAACCAAGAGTGCTCCTTCTTACCAATACGCAAATACATGAAGTCGTACTTCCCGTGGCTGGTCTCGTCAACGATCGTCTTGAGCATAGTCTAAGCATGTCAGATGCCGTGCCGCTCCCGTTGACAAGCGTTGGACTTACTTGATCGATTTTATTCGGGATATTGCGGAGCATGATCTGAAAATTTAGTAGGTCAGTCCCTAGATGATGACGGCATAACCAATCATACATACAGTTGTTCTGACATCTAAGCCGAGACGGATCCTTTCGATATCAACGGCATTCTGGCTAATAACACGGGCATCAGGATAACGACTGATCTCGCGCCGAGGAGAGTGCAAGGTTTTCTCTCCTGCACTGGACATCCAATCCATAAGGCCGGCGTGCTCTCCTGAAGGCACAGTAGAGCGGCCAGTGGGGCTAAGCTCCATATAAGGCGTTCTGAACGGGCGTGTTGGGGCAGACGGCGAGCTTCTTTGGTATGAAGTACCATAGCGTGAACCTCCATCCTTCACTGGACATGGGGTAGGCAGAACGTTGAATGGTTTGTCTTCGGTAACGTCGGGCTTGAACAGAGCAATCTCCAGAATACAATCCTTTACCAAATGATGCATCAGCAAGTTCTGACACTTTTACAATACTAAGCGGACTGCGGGGATATCGCGGAATATGAAAAGCAACAGCTTAAAAAAAGGTTTCACTTACATCAACTGTGGTGCCATTTAGTGTCACCATTGCATTGTCAGCATCACGCGTGTTATAGAACTCGAGGTGGAACTCGCTGACATTGTCCTGTCCCCTGGGAAGTAGATCGAATGCCTTAAGGTCCCCAAACGTCGTCGCAAGTGTTTGTAAGGAGCGCGCTACAGCATGTGAGTTGAAAGTGGGATTTCGGCTGTCGTAGTACACAGACACAAGCAAATGCCCTTCATAATCCGATGTCTGCTGGAGAAGAGATGGCTCGGAATGCTGCACATATTCCTTCGCAGTAAGTGGGAAAACGCGCCATTCAGGCCTAAGAAGGCGAATCTTCTCAATTGCCTTCTTCGCCTCACGACTATCTGCAAATGCAACATACACTTTGCCCAAAGAGCTGAGTTCATTAAGAACCGGTCCTCTGAGAGTTGCAAACTCCCGACGCTTTTGCAGAGTTAGCATTCTAGTACATGAGCAGCTAATCTGGAAACGTACATTGAAGAAACCGGCCAAAGACATGAAGTTAAGACTAGCCGGAACATTTTCGATAACAAATGCGCGGCTGCGTTTGTCGTTGTCAAATTTTCCAGCGAAAATGCCAGCTGGACAGCCTTTTTGAGCGATTGGAGCACGACCAATAGGCCCATAATTCGGTAGGCCCTGCTCATATACTTCCCCGGGTCCGCTTCTGGCTCCGCGGATTTCAACATTAGCTTGAGCGTTCAAGGAGCCGATATTCGAACGGCCGCGAACTTGGATGTCACTCGCAGCACTGCCGGCTAGCCCAATAGGGGTGAAGCTTGCTGCGGTTGGGGACAGCTGCACGCGATTAGAGGTGTTTAGAGGCACCAAAAATGGATCGGCTGGGTGCCTAAGCAGTGTTAACAGAGAAGTATATTCGTTTCGTAGTGCACTTACACTGTGTACAGCGTGCGGAATCCGGCGTCGCCGAGGGAGCTAGCAACATCGGTTTCAGGACGACCTTTAGATCGTACATCCTCGGGTGAGAAGGCTGTAAGCTTGGTATCGGGGGATCCATTGGGCGAGATTCCATCGTTCGTCGAACAGGGACTGCTCAACCCACGAGAGGAATTGTTGGCCCTCATTACAAGAGAACGAACTGGTGTGGGAACAATGTCAAGTTACTGAGCCTTCAGTAATATGTGACAGCCGTTTCTGAGAACGATGAGCAATTTGCGAAGAGTATTAAAGATGCTTGCGATTACAGCTCAAGAAAAGAAGGGGTAGGAATTTCGAGGGAAGTGGCACTTGTCTTAACCATTAGAGGAGCATGGGGAAATGGCCTGACTTTGAAAGATTTCAAGAGTGTTGGAAAAGGAGAGATGGCACAGAACAAAAATAAAATAGTTAACAGAGACAGCTTGAGAAGATGAAGAGCAACGCCCCGGCGACATCAACGGGGCTACTATGTGTACAATTTGTCATCGCAAATGAGTGATATGATAACAATCGCCAGGGTAAATAGGCCCTAACTATATCAATTTCCAAAAGAAAAAGACCATCATACTATTGTCTTCTAGGCCTCACCATTTATGACAGAGATGCTGTTATCCTAGGTCAGTGTTAAAGCATTTCTTAAAGGCAATAGGGACCTCACAGGTTATAAGCTAGTATCACACCCTTTAAGTAGGTTAATAGATGCACGAGAAACACTATGTCGCAGGATCTGCGTCTCTTTCAGGGTCTATAGGACATGATATAGCCTAGACAAAGAGTAAGTAAAAGGGGGGAGGGTCATGTTGGCGCCTTCTTACTGTTCTTATAGAAAGTAATTCTAACTTGTATTTCATGGTATGTCAACCCAACCCAACTAATGAAGCTAATTAGTTATATGTAGGACTTAGATCTTTTCCAAGAGACCTACCTGGCTATACATTATGCTGGTGCACTTGTCCAAGGTAGGCTGGTTTTCATTTTCCTCCTTTGACCCTCTTAAAGCCATCTGTCTCGAATGATGTCCTCTTTCTTTGCACTCCAGTAAAATAAGTTTGGAGACCAAGGTCCTACAGATAGGACCAGGGATAGTGAGGTTCATAGCTAGTTTCTACATTGAGGATGTTCGCCCCATACTTTCAACATATTCATATGCACCATGATCATTGTTGTTGGTTTAGGGTTAAAGTAACTTAATCCAGGGAGTAATAGTTAGTGCTTAATATCTTAAAAAAGGCAAACGCACGGACCATAATAAAAATGGAGCTCTTATACTTTATCCTGACGTAGGCCCTTCAGCCGGCTTTCTAGAGACATAAAGATAAGATACAAAAGTTCATAGTACATGCACTAAATATCTAGGTCATCTCTACACGCCTGCACGCGACTTCAGAACTCCAGCATAACTCTGCATTTTCATCCTTTCTAGCTTCTAGAAAGTATACATGATACAGGGCACCTGTGCTGCTTCCCTGTATTAGCAACCTAGGAAGTTGACTATCCTTACACAACCTCACTTGACAATCAAGGTTGCGCAGACAGGGAGATTAGTGCATTGAATATGCCGTCAATGGTTCCTTCGCGTAGTGAACCATCAAATGTGCTGAATTCAGTGAGTTCAAAGCAGCAGGCGTCCCATATCTAAGCTAATTCAATGCATCATAGATCATCATCTCTCCATCGGACACGGATTATATTGATCAATTGATTCCCTCAATCAGGGAGTATAGCGTCGGCAATCGAACGTCTCAATTATTGCAGTCCTTGTCAAAGTTCGCCAGCGATAAAGAAGCCGAGATAGAAACGATATGCAACACAAACCATCAGGAATTTGTGTCTTCAATCAATCACCTTCTGCGTATCAGAGAAGGAACAGTGAGCTTGACCGCGGAGATCCTTGACCTGAACCAATCTATTCAAGCTAGCACCGAACGTCTCGCCGAACAAAAGAAGGCTCTGGTAGAATCGCGCAGTCACCGACAGAATATTGATGAGACATCTCGCGCCATCCAGGACTGCTTGGAGGTGCTACGTCTAGCTAATCAAGTTCATGATCTGCTAGCCAAGAAAAACCACTATGCGGCTTTACGGGCGCTCGAGGAACTCCAAAATGTGCACCTCAAGGACGTGACCCAATATAAAATTGCCGACATGATACAGCGCTCAGTACCGGCGACCCAGCGAGCGATAGCGGAGGCCGTGCTATCTGACCTGAATACTTGGCTTTACAGAATCCGCGAGATGTCTCAGTTTCTCGGAGAAATAGCTCTTTACCACACAGAATGCCGGAAGACAAGACAAAAGGAGAGGGCACAGAAGCTACCATACCTCAGACATTTCAAACTGAACTCTGCTATTGAGCTGGTTTCGGATGAGCACGAAGAATATGATTTATTACAGAATGAAGAACTGCAAGTTGACTTCACGCCCCTGTTCGAATGTTTACACATCCATCAATCACTGGGGCAGATGGACAAGTTTCGGACGGAATACGCTAATACCCGTCGCCGACAAAAAGAGCTTCTAATTCCCTCTTCAATAACTTTGATTGATGAGGACGGGGCTTGTCTACACAACCTTCTAGAAGAAATGGCAGGCTTTGCCATCGTAGAGCGTGCTACCATGAAGAGAGTGCCAGACTTGAGGTCATCTGTCGACGTAGAGTCCCCCCCTCCTGACCATTTGCTCAGCATGAAGCCTAATGCTTGTGACTAGGTTGATGAGCTCTGGGATTCAATGTGCCAGACTGCCATGGGCCTCATTTCAAAAGCGCTTCCTGAAGTTGATAATGCTGAGAGTTTGCTCAAAATCAAAAATCTCGTTGCATTATTTATGCAAACAATGAATGTTGGTCCATGATTTCGGAGCTGTCCCTGATGTTCTTGCCCCTCCCCAGTTACTGACCACTGCGGACACAGACATGGGAGTTCTCCGTGGGGAAATTTGATGAATTGCTCTTGACTTTGTTCAAGAGATATGCCGAACTTCTCAAGAAAAGATTCAGTGATGACTTCCAGGAGGTATGCTGCTGTATCATGATCGACTTGTCCTTGCTAATTGAACCCTAAGATCGTGTCCACGGACGATTATATGCCCATGCCGATACAATCGTTGGATGAGTATGACAAGGTCCTCAATGTCAGCTGGTACAATCCTGAGAAGCCAAGGGAGGAACAAGTGTACATCCACAGTCTCCATTGTGAGAATTGCGTCCTCTTCACTAACTTGACTAGGTTTCCATGTGTTCTGCCTTTTTCTCAAATGTATCCCTTGTGTTGCATTGACATCCGCAACTTCTTAAACCAGTTTTATTTCTTCGCCAATGAAGATTTCTCGCATCCGCATACGATTGATGATACTCTCAAAGATGTCAGTCACACATGAGTTCGAAAACATAGAAAGTACATTCTGACGGTTACAGGCTTTGGATGAGCTTCTTTCAAACCAAGTTTGCGATACTCTCGTTGAGCGTCTTTCTTCGCAATATTTGGGCCAGATTGTTCAGATCTTGATCAATCTGGAGCATTTTGAATCAGCGTGCCGTGAGCTTGAGGAGCTTCTCGCCGCGGCTCGATCCCAAGGTGCTGCGGGCGGTCCGATATCCTTAAGAGCGACAGAGAAATTCAGAAGCAACAAAAAGTCAGCAGAGAAGCGAATCTTTGAGGTCGTCAATTCCAAAATTGATGATCTCATTGAAACTGCAGAGTATGACTGGATGGCACTCACGCCTCCGACAGAGCCCAGCAATTACATGCAAACACTGACCCGATTTTTGTCCAACATAATGAACTCAACATTGCTCGGTCTCCCAACAGAAATCAAGGAACTCATATACTTCGATGCTCTCAGCCACGCGGCGAATATGATCTTGGTAATACCATACAATTCCTTGATATAAAAACTGGCTAATCCCTGCTCCCTCCACAGGCACAGCCGCTCTCCTCAGACGTAAAAAGCATCAATCCCAACGGAGTGATGGCCCTTGCGAAAGATGTTGAATATCTGTTTCAGTTTGTTGACAGCTTGGGTGTGCCCATTCTTCGGGAGAACCTCGACGAATTGCAACAGACTGTGCATCTCATGCAGGCGGATAATACGGACGAGTTTTACGATATTTCTACAAGAAATAAGAAGTATGGCCGCGTGGATGCTATCAATGGCCCTATCCTCTTAGAAAAGTGCGTCTCCATATGGCCAAATATCCGGGAGGGGCCGATTACTGATTGTATTACAGACTTACACGCACTGTTCACAATTCGGGAAAGACTGATAAGTTCACAACACTTTCCTCAAGGTTCGGCAAGAAGTCTTGAAACGTTCAAAATTGGATGTCTCAAGATTTCTCTCACTGACCTCAGCAAGCCCCCGACCAATCCCCTACTGCTAGCTTAAATAAAATTAGCGCCCGGAGTCGATGTTAAGCATACTGCGAACCACACTGTCTGATTCCATTGGAAATTCCATTGTAGTGATAGGCACAAAATCCATCATAATACTAGCAACAAAACTATTAGCACGGCGCCGTGACAATGAACTTCCAATATACTCGTTAACCTGCCCATGGAGACTTGAACCTCTGCAAATAATCACTTTCAGAATGAACATGGTTAGCTGAATTGCGTACCGAAATGCCGCATTGCGGACTTCAAATATGTTGAGCAGAGTTTTGGCATACCTGCTGTGGCGGAAGATGTGGGTAAGGATTGTACATTCCTTCAAAGATTTGGGATTGCGGCTGTCCATACGCGGCCGTTGGATCCGACTGAACGGCTCCCCCGTACATCGTTGGCTGCCGATATTCTTGGTCTTGTCCAATGCCATGCTGTCCCAGAGAACCGTAATCTGGGGGACCCATATGGTGCGGGGGATGTTGGACACCATGTTGAGAAGGTGGCAGTTGGGCACCTGTTGCAGTGGAGGAACCTGCAGCACCTGCGGTTGCCTGGCTCGACCGTTTCGCATGGGATGTTGCCTCTTCACGAGGTACTATGTCAATGAGGAAATCAAACATATCAGATTTGGATAAGGCTGCTGCGATATCTGATCTTTGCAACGTGCGTCGCTTGTTATCTTCAGCATGTATCCAAGCCCGCATAGTGAGTTCTGTAATGAAAATATCGCAGCCTTTCGCAAATAATATAGGGGCCTCTGCGGAGATCATCTTGACCTCGGGATCTGCCTTCATGACCTTTTTTATACGGGCCAGTGGCAATTGGTGAATTTTGTAGTCATGATTGTCCGATTCGAGATGGTTGATAATGTGTTGCCAGTAGGTCGTTAGTATGTCGCGGGCTGTGCCTTGTAGCCCTTGATTGACCTTTTCTATCATCAGCATAATGAAAATCACTAGGTTTGGTTACTTGCATTCGCCCATGTCCCCGTATAAAGCTCGGCAACGGGGGCATACCCCTGGGCTGAAAGCTGTCATATTGCAAGTCAGTTTTTATCGCAAGCTAGATAATGGTTGCGCTGATTCGAGTCCACCATACCGCAGCACTGGCACCTACAAGAACGTATTAATTTCCATATTTGATGAGATGTTGGGAACATAGGATCTAGTTGAACAGATACTACTCACCATAATGTCCGCCGTTCCTGGTGTCATACACTGGCTGCTGTCTACCTTGCTGCTGTCCGGTACTCTGCGAAGACTGTTCCATATCCGAGATGCTCTGGCAGCGACGAACTATAAGAGGCGTCAAATACAAGGGAATGAAGCACTTCAAGACGTTAGGATAACAGTGGTAGTATCGAGATATGTTGCTCCCCAAGGCGTTGCTAGGTGACTGACGGTACGACCCGGTAGGAGGTTCCGATTTCTGTGAATATAATAGATCAAAAATAACAATCGCCAAGTTTCTTCTCCCTCTTCAGGATGCAGAATAAGATTGCAATATGTTGCGAACTGTCGAAATGTAACTACTTGGGTTACTACGGAGATGTCGACGTCAAAGGAGCGCGGTGAAACAGGCGCCAAGCATTACGATACCTACCTATTGTACTATTATGTGTGCTGTCTTACTCTACAGCCTAGCAGGGTCCGCACTCCACTAAGTACATTAGGACCTCGATGGGACACTAACAAATTGAACATGGTAAAGTACACATATCACCGTGCAAGAATACTGCGATAAAATTTCAATTTCGAGCAAATTTAAAACACTTCCGCCAGATGGAACTGAGGGGTAAGCGGTATCTTCGCTCAAAGGCAACAGGTGATGGAGACGAGGTGGTTACCCCTAGTCTCATATCTTTCTCATTGATGCGTTTACGGTTCTGATCCAATATATTTGCATTACACTTTGAGGATGAGATCTGATACAAACCCTATGTTCTTCCGTCCTATTATATCCCCCTCTTCCTGGTTTGCCCAACCACCTACAGCTAATGCAGCTGTCAAAGGGAGTTCCGCCAGGATCGAAGGTAATAACATTACATTGGGTCCCGGTAAGTACATTGTTAATTGAAATGACGGCAAAGCTACCTTATGTAATACGTAATGAGTTTACACACTCTTGAATGTATATTTAGTACCTTAGATACGAGTAGAGTTTGCGTCTCTATTGCTGGAATAGTTGAGAGGGACTGCTTCCTACTAATGGATTAAGAACGAAACCAAATTGTATGATATTTGAATGATGATCCATACGCACTAGATCCATATCTAAAAGAGCAGTTGCCTGAGATACTGACATTGAGTGATGGTGCCCGGATCATTACTCAGATTGGCTATGCATAGGATGATGACTAATAGACTGGCATCACGGGATTTAACTATCCCCAACACAGCTAAACGGGACTTGGATTTTCCACCATAAATTCTTTCTTTCAAATCTTTCCTCGCTGCTTTGCTTTACCTCCTCTTCACCAAGCTCCCACGAATATGCAACTAGAAGCATGTGGTAGAGTTCATTCTCTTGAAGAGGGTGGCCTGAATGATCAAGATATAGAACAGCTGCTTCTTGAAGCTGAATCTCGACTGCAAACATGTAAAGATCAGCCAACGAGCACTTCGCCGGGCCAAGCCATTGGCCGTTCGGAAAAGCCCTTCTCGAAGTAAGCGTCTTCCTTATACTCAAGGTCAATTGAGTTGTTGCTGATGGTGTGGTTATTATAGCATTCCGAAGTTAACAACTGACTCCTCATTACAATCTTATATTGCGCAGCGAGACGATGTTGCCTCAGCTGATACAAAACGCATCATTGATCCCTTGCAAATGACTTTATCAAATAAGAGCCTGTCCGCCCTTAAAACCCAGCAGTCTTCTGTCAACCACTCAACACATAAGGTAAGATTCGTGATTATCTTGTCTCGCCTTTCCCCATCCGTGCTATGAGGAAAATTTCCCACTGCGTAAGCCCTTGATGCAGCTTCAACAGTCCGTATTGGCCTGCGCTGCGCCAATGAGAGCAAAATTTTCATAGTTACTCTGAGCATAATCTGTCCACATCCAGCTCGTCTTGTGACCTATTGATAGTTCTTTGCTAATATCTTTTACAGGAAAAGCCGACCGCTGGTGCCGATTGGTTCCATCTTCCAAAGACAGAATTGACAACAGAGCTCAAAAGAGATCTTCAACTCGTCAGGATGCGTTCTGTATTAGATCCCAAGCGGCATTACAAGAAAGAAGGCGGCAAGGCACAGCCTCCAAAATACTCTCAGTTGGGAACAATTATTGAGGGTCCAACGGAATTCTTCAGCGGTCGCATTGTCAAGAAAGACCGCAAGAAGACCTTCGTTGAAGATGCTTTGGCTTTGGAGCGGGAAACCAAACGCTTTGCATCTAAATACAGGGAGATCCAGTCATCGAAGCAAAGCGGCAAAAGATCTTTCTACAAAAACCTTCGTGCGAAAAGAAACCGTCAAAGAAAATGAGACGAATTCCGCAGATGTTGAAGGACATAATTCCAATGAGGGCTTCGATACAACGGTCGAGTTATTCTGCTGACTTGCCATTTCCTAGCCACTTGTGAAGAGGTCTCGTCATCATGGTCGTCTCAGAAAATTGCTCTTGTGCGCTCCTCCTCCAATCGTGGCATTTGCTTGGTGAGGCAGCCCGAATCATGATCAACTCACGGACTGGACGCTATCGGCGCTCATAGACGTTTGATATGGCCCTCACGACGAGTTTCTGCTGCCGTATCAATACCAATTCACATAGATAAAGCGCTCAATGCGGAGGCTTACCTGCATATCGATGGCTGCTGTGCGGCCAGCCTCGAGGACTTCTTCGTGGTTTGCTTTCCCTTCTTGCAATATGGAATCCAGCTCCTTCACGTCCTTGGCTTGAAGAAGATGATCATCTCCTCGGGGAACTGGAGAGAGGACCGCATTATTGGTTACCAAGCTGAACGCCAGTACCCTAATGCCGCAATGCCTCGCGACGATTATTTCTGGTACGGTTGACATGCCCACCAGATCAGCACCAACTTGGCGAAGCATACGGCACTCAGCTCGAGTTTCGTAACTGTGAATGATTAGGGCATACTGCATACGAGTTTATGCTCGTGGAGAAATAGTTACTCACCTGGGACCCCCAACAAAGGCATATACACCCTCGTGTAGTCTTCGTTTACTGTTTTCGCTTGTCACTGCTTTCCATGCCTGGTGTGCATGGCGACGGAGCTCGAGATCGTATGCATCAGACAGCGCAGGGAATCTGGGTCCGAATTCCTCCGGGTTTGGCCCTCGCAGGGGATGTGTTCCTGCAAATCCTGCAGGGAAGATGTGCTGCGATTTTTCGACAGTGTCAGTAAGCCTAGCTTGCAGCATCCGCACGTGTTATATTAAACATACATCGTTGATGATAACGATATCTCCTACCGCATATTCGGTGTTGAGGCCTCCGGCGGCGTTTGTTACTATATATTTGTGCACGATTACTAAAAGTGTCTCGTGCCGGAGAAAGCGCGGGGTTCTCACAAACAATAGTCTCAATTCCAAGAAGCTTAAAAACCCGGATTGGAAATGTCACTTGATGTATCGAGTGACCCTCATAGTAGCTGCATGCGAAATAAAAATGTTAACAATTTTCAATACTAATATTCAAACCGGGAATGAGTTGAGGGCTCTCACTGTGCACGGCCCACCATGAGAACGACTGGGATATGGTGGGCAAGTAGTCCAAAGACAAGTTTCCCCGCATGTCCGGGCACTTCAAGAGGTCAGAAAACAGCAGGTTGATAGTGAGTTTCAATACTTCATTTTTTACCTGTCAAACGAGGGAAATGGGGTATGGAAGAATATTCAAATTCTGCTCGCGGCTCATCATGGATGGTATTTGCAAGTTCTCCCAAACCAGAGCCACAAACAACTGCAACACGAGGGTGTTGTAGAGTTTCAGGTAGACGTTCCTTCAAGTAAGAGAAAGCTTCAACCGCCTCTTCGAATAGTGACTTTTTTTTTGGTGCTTCTGGCGACATTCTGCTCTGCAATAGACTAATCAGTGGGAAAGTGAGGCGAGGAAATGAAGTTCCGTTTTTCGATTTAGGTGTATTATTGAATGAATGCTCTAAAGCATTTTCTAGCTTACCCTAACTATGAAGAGGTAAGCGCCACTCCCAGAGGTAAAGTGGATCCCAAAGGGCTAGGGTATTCAGTCTCTCCACGAACACGACAGTCTGTTTCACCCGTGAGATGAGGGTGTGCCGTGTACATGCTCATTTCTCCATGACTACTGTGTTAAATCAGCTTACGGTCTAAGCTCCAATCAAACGCCAATAACTTGCCTCAGGCGCTGATAATCCATCATTTGAACAGAATGGAATTCAGAATAATAGGTGCTTCTTAGGCATTGGTAATATTAATCTGCTTCACCAACATGTGTTTTTCTTCAGCCCTACTGACTTGAGTACAGCCTAGCTCGTCTATACGTAGGCGTGGTCTTATTGCTGCACAGTTTCACTACTCTACATGCACTAGGTACATGAGCGCAACCAGACATCTCCTCCAAATTCGAGATTTTGTTAAGCAGAGCTGGTAGTTCTTCAAGGATCACAGACTATGTCATAAAACGTAGGATACAATGATCGACTGCAGCTGACCCGTGCAATGGTGTAAAATATCTGTTGGCATGGGGCAGGAACGATTATGTGGAAGACAGTGTGAGGACATCCACCAGCGGAAGGGATGGACGTAATGGACTTATAAATTTTGAATTGCCTGGTGAGCACTCTGGAAACAATAATGATGGGTGAATTTTAAGTATAGCAACATGTAAATGTTCCGGAACAATAATATTAAGCCGTTGACTTGTCACTTAAGGACTACTATGTGGATGGATGGATGGGGGGCAGTGTTACCTGAAGGTAGACAAGGCGGTCAGCAGAATATCTAATTGACCGGATCTTCTGCTCTAGTTGTGTCCGGCAGAAAAAAGCCAAGGTATCTCAGCATCTTCGCAAGAGTTGACAGGATTGTGTGTCTGTAAACCACCTATCAGTCGACCTGCCCAGACACACTATGTCAATTTCCCTCGGTCCACGTTTTCCTTTACGAGCTGCTAGGCATCTGAAGGTATTCAGAAGTAAATTCCTATTTCGCAGTGTGGCCTGTAAAGCTGATCTTACTGAAAAAGTTCGCCATATCCGCCTCTCGCAGCATCGCCTCTTCAGCCGAGCTGGACATCGCAAACTCTAGGTCGTCTGAGTCTCGCAGCGATCCAGTCACAAGCTCAGAATTGTTAGAAATGCCTTTTTCACCTGTTGGATTCGTTTTCTGTTGGTAAAGTTCCTGGACTAACAAACCATGCTCAGATCAAGAGATCCAGCGCCTTCGTCAGAGCCACGCGTCAAAGAATGGTCGGTAATCTAGATCCCTGCGAGCATTCTGTGATGCGCCATGCTCATTGGTAATTAGGTCAGAGCGCTTGGACAGTGTTGCTCAGAAGGCCCGACTCCCGCGGAGCGTACAAGCGTTGTATCTTCGGCCACTTCGGAGGAAACCTGAATTTGGTCTGCCAGTCTGCGATCTTCAACTCAGGTCTTATAGCGTTCGCAACTTGGAGTTTTTTGCCGACTTTGCTGTACGCGCTGCATATTACCTGGAACTTCCTGTTTCGGGGCCGGTTCCTCTGCCACGGATCGTCGAGCGCTGGACTTTCCCGCGGAGCAATTTCGTTCACAAGAAAAGTCAGGAGAACTTCGAGCGAATAACACTCCGCCGGTTGATTCAGATCAAAGATGGGCATCCCCAAGCTGTACAGGCATGGCTGGCTTTTTTACGTAAACACGCGTTTTATGGCGTTGGTATGAAAGCAAATGTGTGGGATCACGAAAGCCTTGGTATGGTCTCCTCCCTCTATAATTACTGCCAGGCTGGAATCGTTTTAAGACTATATGCTTATGGAGTGTTGAATCTAGACGTGGCCCGGAACATGGATGAAGCACTGCCCGATATCGAGAAGTCGCTTGAACCTTACCTCTCACATTTCGGTCATCGGAGTGACGGATCAGATCAGAGCGCAGTATTTGATCTTTTAGAAAATGAGCGTTTCACTCATAACAAGAGTCCCTTGACAGACATTCGCAAGGATTGACCTCGTGCTTGTGGTTGGGTTGGTTTTACTGCTTATAATTCTCTTAGCATCTCGGTAATCAACCAACTTTATTCTGGGGCCCATCAACACACGCAGTAATTTCATTTAGTCATCAATGAGATACTCAAATCTGTAAGGCAGTATCAGTATACTTCTCCTCAGGATCCGGCTTCTGTGTAGTACTTGAAGTATTAGTGGTTGAGTTTTTAGCATCATGAAGTATCACGTGGTTTAAATATTTTGTTGGAGTGCTAAGCATTATATCCTTTCAGAACAGAATTCCACACAAATGCGGTTTGCACCAAAATTCCCTTCTCAGTCAACAGATCGGATATGCAGGGATCTAATTGCCACAACACTCAAGTTCTCGGAGTTCTGCGTGGAGCAAGGAGACCTCGCATTCATGCAGGAAAACCTGTGACGTCGAGAGAAGCTTTCCGCAGATGGAGTAGCTCAGACACGGCGAAATCATTTTCAGCTGCCAATCAGACCATATTCTCCGGGATTCAACCAACTGGTGTACCGCACCTTGGAAATTATCTCGGGGCTCTGCGCGAATGGGTACGGCTACAGAATGCTGCGAAGGAGGGGACAAGATTGTTTTTCTCTATCGTCGACTTGCATGCGTTGACAGTGCCACAAGATGCCTCCCAGTTACGAAATTGGAGGAAAGAGACCTTTGCAACACTCATCGCCGTTGGCTTAGACCCGAATCGCTCAACAATTTTCTACCAGTCCGCTGTATGCAGTATTAATCTGCGTTGTAAAGTCTACTGACCATATCATTAGGTCCATGCGCATGCCGAACTGTTTTGGATTTTGTGTACAATAGCCTCTATGGGATATCTCTCCCGAATGACACAGTGGAAGGTTAATATCCAGACCAACTGCCAACATGGTTTAATGGTGAGAAGGAACCGCTAGCTGACGTCGTCCAGAGCAAGCTTCAGTTGCCTGATAACGCAAATTTGGAAGACTCGGCGGCGAGGTCAAGGTTGCGATTGGGATTGTTCTCATACCCTGTTCTACAAGCGGCGGATATTCTAGTTCATAGGTACGCTGGTCAGTCATTGGCGCATTCTCACGTTACTGATGTAGATCAGAGCTACCCATGTTCCTGTGGGAGACGATCAAAGGCAGCACCTTGAATTTTCAAGGAACACTGCGAACAGTTTTAATCATGTATATGGGCCCATTTTCCCGTCACCAGAGGCAATTATATGTAAGTGGGTTTTGGTTCTTGCGGAAGGGCCCTGTGATAGGAAATTGACGACTATCAATAGCGCCTGCTAAGCGGGTTATGTCCCTCAAAGAACCGACGTTGAAAATGTCCAAGTCC